CATGGGAGAGCGAATGGAATGCTGAAGTTGGTTCCTAGGCAGCAAATCGAATTAATAATTCGTCAGCACAAGATGAACAATGATAAAAATAGTGCATCGGGAGAATAGACTCTTTAAATAGAGGCTCAAGGCGCCAGCCGTCGAAGGCGTACAGCCCGGCCGAAAGTTGATACCTGGTGTCGAGACCGACGCCAATATTCGATAATTCAAGGATGCTACCCTCGAGTGTCAAGTCGATAGGATTCAGCTGCAGCGAAACTGCGCCACCGATAAGGTCGCTGCAGTTAGTGCAGCTTGGGCTGTTGGCATTGATAAGGGATAAACGAGAAGGCAGCAGTGGAGTTCCTGCGCTGTCGAAGAGCCTGTCCAAAAAACGTAGCCTGTACCGTTGCCGTAAATGAACCGATGAAAAAAGCTGAAACAGAAGCGAAGCAACTACGTCGTCAAATATGTTGAATTTCGTCGAATGTATTGAAGAGGAGCGTAGCCGTGACCAACCGTCGTCGATGAAGAATCGTTACAGGCAGTCGTGCAAGCAGTTCATGCACCATGGCAGGTAGGGAGGACTCGTTGCAAGCGAAACGCTGCCCATTTTTCATCGACTATGCTGCCCGAAAGTAGTGAACAACCCCGTTTTTACGTGTGTGCAAATTGCGAAAACGCATATTGGGAAGAGGCTGTCTGTGTGTGTGTTCGTACCTTTTGTTGCCCACTTCCAACTCGAGAACTAGAAAAGCTAGAAGGCTGAAACTTTGGAATATGTGCCCATATCATGCGCGACCCTCCCATTTTAATTTCATCCTCCGCGGACTCATGGGCGCTGAGTACGGACGCTTTAAAAAAATATGCAGATTTTTTGGTGAGAAAGCGATCTCGAGAACCACAAAAGGTAAGGAGCTGAAACTTTGTAGTAACATTCCCTGGGCATGTGCTAGCTAAAGATTTCAAATCCAGCCCCCAGGTATGCGCAGTACTCACGTAAGGGCGTATGGATGCTTCTACTGAAAAATCATTGGCAACGCGCACCGGGCGAGCCCGTGCGATCATGCGTTTTTGCAGCATTTCGTGCTGTAATGAGATCACTCGAAAACCTGGTAGCTAGGATTTGCGACATACTGGTCCTCGAAGTTCGGGAAGTTAATTGTCTATGCGGTACTTGGACAGGGAACATTCCGCTAAAATCCCAGCTTTCCAACTTCTCCAGATCTAGGGTTAGCAATTTTCCTGCCATAAAATTTCATGGGTTCGTACATGGGAACTACACGTATCTGGGAGCTGAATTTGATATCTTCTGTTACAAGGGCTGGAACACACCCTTTACATTTCAGCTCTCAGCTTTCTTATTTCCCGAGTTAGCCATTTTTTCGGCAAAAAATTTTGAGGGGTCGTACGAGAGAACCATGAACCCCTGAAGACTGAATATGATAAATTTTCGTTGTACATGAGCTAGGAACATTCCCTGAAAATTTCAGCCTCCTAGCTTTCCTGGCTCCCAAGTTAGTCATTTTCTCGCCAAAAAATTTCACGGGCCGTACGTGATAACCACGTATGCCTGGGAGTTGAGTTCGATTATATTAAGTTATACATGCGGTGGGAACATTCCCTGAAAAGTTCAGCCTCCCAACTTTCCTAATCCCCAAGTTAGCGATTTTCGCGCCGGGAATCTTCATGGCGCCATACGCGAGCACCACGAATACCTGCGGGTTGAATTTGAAATCCTTGAGTTCCATTTGAACGGGGGACATAACCTCAGAATTTCAGCTTTCTAGCTTTTCTGGTTCCTGAGTTACGACTTTCCCGCCAAAACTTTGACCCTCTCGTACGCGGGGCCCAGATGCGTGAAGGCTGGTACCGCGGTCCTGGGGTAGCACTTGGCTGGGGAACCCACTGGCAAAATTTTGGCGCCGGAGCTTGCTTGGGAGCCGAGTTGAAATACCCGGGCAGACGCGCGCACACACACACACACACACACACACACACACCGGGGTTGTCGGAACATGCGTTTTCGCATTTGCATGTGTGCAGAACGCATAACTACTAACTCGGCAACAAGAAAGGCTAGAAGACTGAAATCTTAGTGGGATATCCCCTGCCCACGTGCAATTTAAAAGTTTCAAATTCAGTCTTCCAGGCACGTGAAGTATGTGGAAGTTTTGGCAAGAAAAGTGCTAACTCGGTAACCAGATAAGCTGAAAAGCTAAAATTTTAGGGTAATGTTCCCTGTCCAAGTGTAACTCAGATGCTTCAAACTCAGCCCCCAGCTATGCGTTGTACTCACGTAAGGGTGTATGAAATTTTCTGCGAGAAAATTACTAACTGGGGAACCAGAAAAGCTAGAAAACTGAAATTCTTAGGGAATGTTCTGTATCCAGGTGCAACTTCAGCATTTCAAATTCAGCCTTGAGGTATGCGTGATTCCTACGTACGGGCACTTAAAGTTTTGGCGGAAAAATTTCTCATTCAACAGCTAGGTTACTTTTAATGAACGACTGTTAAATGGAAATTGTACATTTGCTTTGCAAAATTTATGGTGATTCATGCTAGTGACCGCAAAAGGCAGGTGTAAAGCAACAGCCATTCATACCGTTAATGACCTGAGCACTTCAACTCCGGTGCAAAAATGCATGATCGTACGGGCTCGCCCGGTGCGTTCCAGCCTGGGTTTCAATATAAGTTGAAGAGGCTCTCCTTTTTAAGCGTTTTTGCTGTGCTGCTACAGCCAGCAAAAACGCATATTGTCGGGAGGCTGTCTGTGTTTGTGTGTGTATGTGTGTGTGTGTTTGTGTGTGTGTGTGTGTGTGTGTGTGTGTGTG